TTTTTCTCTCTCTAGCTGCTTTTAAAAGTCTGTCCTTGTCCTTGATCTTTGCCATTTTAATTATTATACGTCTTTGTCTTGTCTTCCTTAGGTCCCTTGTGTTGGGAGATCTGTGCACCTCAAAGGCCTGAGAGACTATCTTCTTCCCCAGAATGGGGAAGTTTTCATCAATTACCTCTTCAAAGACTTTCTATTCCCTTTTTCTCTTCCTTCTTTTTCTTCTACCTCTATAATGTGAATATTTTTCTGTTTGGTCACACAGGTCTCTCAATATTCTCTCTTTCCTAGTGACCCTTTTTTCTCTCTGTGCTTCAGCTTCTTTGTATTTCTCTTCTCTACTTTCTATTCCATTTACCATCTCTTCTACTATATCAAATCTGCTTTTAATTCCTTCCATTGTATGTTTAATTTCAGGTAATGGAATTTCTTAATGATTGAATCTCCATCTTAAATTTATTCCTGAGTTCTTAAATATTTTTCTGTACCTCCATAAGCATGTTTATGTTTATGATTTTTATTTTGAACTCTCTTCCAGGAAGATTGGTGAGTTCAGTTTCATTTGGCTCTTTTTCTGGGGTTTATGAGATTTTGGTTTGAACCATGTTCTTTTGATGTTTCATATTTCTTTGTGGTGTCCTCTAATGCTCAGAAGCTACTATCTCTGGAGCTGCTCAGCCCCTGGAGTGATGTGGGGAATTGCAGGCGAGCAGTGATGGTACCTGGGGGGAAGAAAGGAACAGTCTCCTACTTCCTGGCTGCGATGCCTGTCTCCACTGTCAGAACCAGTGGACTGCGCACACAGGTGTAAGCCTCTGCTTTGTTTGTAGCTGCTGTATATTGGACCTTCCTGTAGCTGGCCTGATGCCAGGGCAGGGACTGCCAGTTTGCAAGCTGGTGCTGGCAGTCCAAGAGGAATGTGCAGCAGGCTGTGTATTACAGTGGGCAGCCTCGGAGCTGAGCAGCCAGCCGGGGGACGGAGCACCTGAAGCTCCCCAAAGTTCCCAACCTGCTGAGCAGAGCGTGCCCAGACAACCTTGTCCACCTAATCCCTTCTCCTGAGCAGCAATGTCCATGCTATCCCCACCCCTTCAGCAGCCCTCTTGCTGCTAGGAAGTCTCTCAGACTGCCCACCTTTCCTTTGTCCCAGAGCAGTCAGATGTGGATCCCTTTCCTTCACAAATGGCTGGAATCTCTCTCCAAGTACTCCACCTGTCTGAGTTTTCCAACCCCACCAATCTCCAGAGCACCATGCAATGCAGGTTTGTGCTCCCAAAGCAGATCTCCAGGGTAGGTGTTCAGCAGTCCTAGGCTTCCACCCCCTCCCCACTCCATTTCTCTTCCTCCCCACCAGTGAACTGGGGTGGAGTAAAGGTTTGGGTCCCACTGGATCAAGACTTTGGTACATTACCCTGTTTAGTAAGGTCTGCTCTGTTCTCCAAGTGTATGCAATCTGGCACAACCTTCTTTCCTATTGCTCTTTTAGGATTAGTTGTATTAACCATATTTTCATATTATATGTGGTTTTGGGAGGAGTTCTGTCTTATCTCTCATGCCACCATCTTTAATCCCCAAGAGGCTTTTATTTAGAAAGTGAGAGGACAGAGCTCCTGTTTCAGTCCAGGTGGGGACAAGGGAGCCCCAGGGTGGTGCATTGTTTATGGGTTTTATAGATGGTTGAGAGACCTCTTCCTCTTTTCTTTACTTTGGAAGTTAGCTAAACCTGTGGTAATCATTTCACAATATATGTAAACCAAACTATCATGCTGTATGCTTTAAACTTATATAGTGATATGTCAATTATTTTTCATTCAAACTGGAAAAAAAGGGAAATTTGGACTAAGAGAGACAGCCACAGAAGACAATGTAGATACAAAAAGGAAAAGACAGCCATATGATGACAGAGGCAGAGACTGTTGGATGCACCTAGACACAAAGGAATGCTCAGACTGCCATTAAACATCAGAATCTAGGATAGGCAAGGAAGTATTCCTGCCTAATTTTGCATTCATTAGTGTTGGTTAGGATTCTATTTTACCTCCACTCTTGGCATTTTTAAAAAACTTATTAAGAACCTACTATATGTCAGGTACTATTTTAGGCACTGGAGATACAGTAATGAGCAACCCAGGATACCTGCCCTTGAACTGACAGTATGGTGAGGAATAAGACCCTAGACAAAATAAGTAAAAACATAGTATGTGAAGTGCACAGATGAAACAGAAGGGATGAAGAATGCTAGTGGGAGGTTGCTGTCATTAAAGAAATTAATTTATAGGCATTATTTTTTTTGAGCAATTTGAAAATAAAGAAAATCTGGGGACAAAGTACAGAGAGTTCTCATATAGTCCCTTATCCTCATTCCTCCCCCACGTTTTCCCTAATGTCAACATCTTGCATTAGTGTCGTACATTTTTACAACTAATAAGCCAATGTTGGTACATTATTATTAACTAAAGTCCATAGTTTACTCAGGGTTCACTCTTTGTGATGTACATTGTATGGGTTGGCAAACGTACAATAATATATATTCACCATTGTATGATACATATCATCATACAAAATAGGTTCAGTTTTAAAATTCCTGTACCCCACCAATTCATCTCTCCCTTCCTCCAAAACCACTGATGGTTGTTATTGTCTCCATAGTTTTGCTTTTTTCCAGAGGTCATATACATGGGGTCATGCAATATGTAGCCTTTCCAGATTATCTTTTTAGCAATATGTGCTTAAGTTTCCTCCATTCTCTGAGCAGTTTGGGCTGCTATTACAAAAATACCATGGAATGGGTGGCTTAAACAACAATCAATAATTTCTCATGGTTCTGGATGGTGGAAACTCCAACATCAAAGCACCAGCAGACCTGGCATCTGGTGAGAGCCCCCTTCCTGGCTCATAAACAACTGCCTTCTGACTATATCCTCAAATGGCCAGGGAGGCAAGCTCTAGCCTCTTTGTCTTCCTATAAGGACACTAATCCCATCATGGCAGCTGCATCCACATAACCTCATCTAAACTTAAGTACCTCCCAAAGGCTGCACCTCCTAATACCATTTCCTTGGGGATATGGCTTCAATATATGAATTTGGGGGACAAAAACATGTAGTTGATAACATCCATGTCTTTTAGTGGCTTGCTAGCACACTTCTTTTATTGCTGAAAAATACTGTGTCACATGGATATACCACAGTTTATCCATTCATCTATTGAGGGACATCGTAGTTGCTCCTAAATTTTGGCAATTATGAATAAACCTGCTATATATATATTAGGCACAGCTTTTGTGTGCACATAAGTTTTCAGTTCACTTGGGTAAATATCAAGGATTGCAATTGCTGGATTTCTGAGTAAGAATAGTTAATTTTGTAAGAAAATGCAAAGTGTCTTTCAAAGCAACTTACAATTTTGAATTCTTATCAGCAATGAATGAGAGTTCCTGTTGCTCCACAAGCTTGCCAGCAGTTAATGTCAGTGCTTTGGGTTTGTCANTATTCTTTGGGTGTCCAGATAGTTTGCCTATTTTTTAACTTGGTTGTTTGTTTTCTTTTTGAGTTTTAAGAGTTCTTACTACTTTTTTTGTTATAACAATTTACTTAACTCAAAAAGTCCAATATTGTGATTTGAATTATAATCCACACCAGAATGGTTAGATGTGTTATATCCTGTTGTTTGTTTTGATCTTCAAAATCCAATGTGTTTTATAGTTACAGCACATTAAATGTGAAAATATTATGACTATCAAATGACTAATATTTTTAATTTCCAACATCTCAGATGAATAAACATTAAACAACTTGATATATAAATGAGCAAAGGATATCAATATGGAATTCAGAGAGCAATACATGGGATCAATAAAGATATAAAAATCTACTTAACCTCCTTACAGAAGAAATGCATGACAAAATATTTCATTTATGGGAGATGAGCAAATATAAGTTCTAATAAGAAAGTGGTGAAATAGATATTCTCCTATGCTTGGTGGAAGCATCTTCTCTAAGAACACTGGTATCATCTTCTCTAAGAACAATGACAGTATTATAATTTAAAAATGCAGGTACCCTATGACGTAACAATCCTACTGCTAGAAATTTATCCTATGCATACACTTGCTATGATTAATGAAAATATTTGCATAGGAATGTTCATTGCAGCACTGGTTGTACAATATAAACTGGAAACATGCTAAGTGCTAAGTGTCCATCAAGAAATTAAATATGGTATATTCATATCATGGAGTACAAAGCAGTGTTTAAAAAGAATGAAGACTTGAATATGTGGATACAGAAGTATTTCCAAGATAAAGCTGCAGAATATATTGTATAATCCCTTTGATACTAACAAGATATATGTACACATACATGCATACACACACATCTTTTCCCCCAGAACAAAATACAGTACTTTAACAGGGTTGCCATTTGTTTGAGGAAGACTATTCTTAAAGGTGGGGAAGAGGATTTCACAACTCTTGGACTTGCTTATACTGTTTGAATATTATCATGTATGAAAGAACTGTCCTGGCATAATATTTTTGCCTTCTTAATTTTAGATACAAAATGAATTACTTAAGCATAATTGGTATCTTCTCTAACAAATTATTTTCTTTCAGATGAAAAATGACATACCTAACTGCAGTTGGGGAAGATCTGAGGCAAGCTGACTTAAGACATTAGTGAGAGGATCCTTCATTTTGATTGACAAGGTCTTCATATTCAGAGAATCAGAATAGGGGCTTGGGCTGGGAGAAGCGAGACATCCAAGGAATGGCCACAGTGAAGGAAGAACTCATCAGACATTCTTTAATCTTATAAATCCCTTTTAGTTCCTTACTTATCCCTACCACCACCACCCCTACATCCAGCCACTATTTGAGCCAATAATTCCAGAAATGAATTTCACATTCATCATTCTCTCAGGCCCTTCTGATCATCCACTAATGAATATAACCAGTTATAAAAGCACAACAAACCCCCATAAAATAATCTTCAAAACTCCTGTACTTTAAATTACTAAAGCACATCTTTATTTTGCAATTGAACAATAAAAGGTCACAGCTAGAGTTTTTTTCACGTTTGTACCTGAACAACTACTTCGTAATCAAAATGGAATACTGCCAACAAAATATGTGTAATAGCATTTCACATAAAATAAATTGCCCTTAGGACTAAAACAGTTTTAACACAAACCAGCATTTTTATCCTGTTTTCCATTAGTATTCATAGTTTTCTAACATTAATTGCAGGAATTCCAATTTTTCATTGAAATTAAGACAAAAATACAAGGCCTTTCAAACATAGGAGTAAGCCACAGTGACAAATGCATAGTGATGCCTTTAAATTATCTAGTGTTGACCAAATTCATGCTTACACATTTTAAATGAACCCTAAGTTTGCCTCTTAATTACGGGAACAAACCATATACAAAGAGATACTTTTGTGAAATGGGGGAAGAGAGTTAGTCTAAAAAATTAAGGGGCTAATTCCACTTGGGTACTAGTTCAGCACAATCAAACGTGAAATGGCAGCAGAAATGTAAAATTGTATTTGAATTAGGAAATAAACTAGACTTTAAACTAAGTGACTTTTCGCCCTTCATATTTACATATAGCACCTGTTACAAGAACAAAAAATACCAAATTAAAACACCCTCTACATAGAATTATTTTTAAAACCACTAAAAATATTACTGATGAGTATATAGTAAACTATCTGTACTAAAATTAAGCCTACACTGTAGAAAATAAGGACTAGCTTTTCTTATTTGAAAAGATCACAATGTGGCATAATTGCAATGTTCTGATAACTATAGGAACACTGGGTTGGACAGTTTTTATTCTTCTCAGCACACATGATCTAATGACAGAAAATGAACACAGCTTAATGCAAACTGTTTTAGTCTATTAAATCCTGCCCCTTGACATGTATGTCACATGTCAGGACTTTACCACATCAACTTACTTGTGGTGCACTACTGACAACCCCTAGGTACAACTCAAAACTAAACAGATTTCCAAGTATTCATGTAATGTACAAAAATGCAAAGCAGAAATGATTATAGTAAACCAAACTTGGCTGAAGGTAGCTGAGAGAACTCAAGAGTCCAGCAAGATAGTCAATTTATTTCACTACATAAATTACAGAAAAGTGGTAAAGCTAAAATCACATTACCTTTTAATATTAAATGATCAAGAGATCATTATGAAGCATTTAAAACTGGGTCCAATCCAATGGGTTCTACATACTAATCGATTAAGAATTTCCCATATTTACAAAACTCCTAGGGTAATTTTATTTTTAAATGTATAAATTAAGTCAGTAGTAGGCATTAAATAAAGTGCTACTATTTGAAATTCAAGAAATCAATTTCAGCATGAAATCTGACCTACTCTACAGAATACAAGAATGAATGAGTAATCTTGTCAACTCACTGAAGGGTGGGAAAAGATGAGAAACAGAATCCCAGAACTGGCACTGAAACTGGGTTAAAATTTTCTTGCCTATGAAAACAAATAATGGGAACACTACAATTCAGGAGTAAAAACTAAAAGGTTTCTTTTAAGTAACAGGTAAAATGGACTCAATTTTGACTACAGAGGATTTGGGGAAATGACAAATCCTCACCTTATTTGGGTCTAAACTGTAAGCAGGGCCGAGCCTTCTTCAACATTTTAAGGTGGTAATTTCATTTAGCATTTAGTAAATGTTATCATATTTGCTAAATTTTGGAAACTCTCAGTGTTAAGGGGACTTGATACTAATCTTATAACAACTGTTAACAAATGTTAATGAAGGAAGGTATCATTTATAGTTGTTGAGGATATTTACTTTGCAAAGATTCTACCATAGAGGGCAAGCTGATTTTTCTAAAAGTTGGAGGAATGGAAGCTGTAGTTGAAATAATGAAGGCCCTATTGAGTCAAGTTTAATGGTTGATAAGTAATAAATATTACCTTTTGCAAAAACTATTGAATAAATTAATCATGCCTAAAGCTAGGTTAAAATGTAGGGTTTTTTTTGTTGTTGCTTTTTAGCTGAGTTAATAAACCATTAAGCTGGTTACAAAGCTACATTAAGATACCACTGCTATAAGGCGGGGTTGGGCTTAGTGATCGTATCTGTCCAAATTACTGAGCATAAAAAGGTAGAACTATTTGTCAGGGGCTTCTACACATATTTACTATGGTGAATTTTAGGCACACTTTTCTGGCTTCACCAAAGTCACACATTCACAATGATGTCTTCATTTGCGGTGACCACAGTCACAAAGCCTGGGATCTTTCCTTCATGGTAAACAAATGCAGCAGAAATGTTTACGCTCACACAAAAACACCCTTCCACACTCCAGACAAGTCAGGAATTCAGTTACTTCACACTAAAAACACTGCACAAATTTCCTTGAAATTTTCTATTCTAGAGCTGAAATGGAGCAAAATGAAAAAGAATATACATTATAAGTGAAATATATTTCAATGATTGCTCTTGTTTATAATGAAAGTTACTTTTTTTCTAAAATTGCCTTTTATATAATGAAGTGGAACACATTCTTCTTCTCAATCCCTCACTTTTTTAAAGAGTAGCTATAGAATCAAGTCATACTTCTAACATTTGAAAGATACGCTCACTTTCTTTACAGCACTAAAGACATACAAGTATCATTTTTTCCTTTTGAAACAATGAAGAGAAGTTAACAGTTTCATACTTTTGCCCATAGAAAAATATTTTCTGTATTCTTTACACAATAGGTAGGAAAATTCTAGTGTTTAATTGAAACTTTTATGAGGACAAACATTTTCATTCTTGTATTAGACATTTTAAATGGTTTCAGGAAGTTAAACATTAGAACTTCCTCCTAAAATTGTACTTTTAAAGTTGCAATATCGCTAATACTTTGCAAATTAAAAAAAAAACTGGCTTACTTATTTATGCACTGAATTGTATCTAGTCAACTTTGATGGATTGCACCCCAGTAGATACTTCTGGGTGCCCATTTTGCTTGGATTACTGAAATGAAAATAACAATGACTACAACACTTTAGAAAAACTGTAAACTGCAATGAAAATCATACAACTAAATAGCAGCAAATTTAGATATGGAAACAGAAATAACTATTTGGTGTTTACCAACAACTTTACCAAGATTATAAAATATCTGATTTCTGACTGAAAGAGGGCTTGTTTTCGATAACACTGAAAGGCTTGTTGTAGTAACTGCTATTAAGAATAAATGAAGTCTGTATATAATAGTTGCAGATATTATAAAGTTGAGCCAAAAAAATACAATTTAGGGATGAATTTCATGCACTCTTGATAAAATTGCTGAAATTATCTATTAGCAGCCAGCCTTCAAAACTGTTCTATTATTATGTAAATTATTTTGTATCTATACAATTCTCTAAGAAATTCATGAAACAGTTATTCTAATTTGTGATCATACTGAGATATGAATTAATCTTTACCAATTAATAATTCTGATATTTAATAAAACTGATCTAGTGGGTTTTATAACACAGATATTTTACTTGGAGTAAACACCACACCCCACACCCCAGAAAATGGTTGCAGAGATTGTGGTTGGACAGCTAACACAAATGTAGGAAGTAAGCAATGACAGTGTAAAGTAGCTACTCTGTTGATGTGGCAGCTTACATAAAAGTAAGCTGTGGCATAGTTTACCTTATCATATTATTAAGAGATGTTTATTCCAACAACTATTTATCATAATGTATTTAGTATATATAACTTAAATGCACATTCACCTGAACTACAAAATAATTACTACAAACTAAAAGAGATGTAAACATATCCCACACTATTGTGGTATAAATAATTTTTATGAATTCACACTACTTTGGCAACTTACCATCAGAGTATATTAAATATTGAAAACACAGACATTAAATAGAACATTGTTAAACATTGTTTCTTTCTCCCTTCCTGATAAGAATATAGAACAAGTAATGCTTTAATTCTACATGTACACATTATGAACATAAATCATTTGATTAAAAGTGGACATATCTTCTAAATCTTAGTTCTATTTTTTAAGTGCTTTTAAAAATTAAGTCTAATTTGCATTTCAGAATGTTTTCATACTATATGTATATCAACCTAAATACTTTATAAAAGCTTATGTTCTATCACGGAAGCATAGCAAGCAAACTGAGTCAGGGTCCTAACTAGGAGAACTTTTTAAATCCTTCTTATTTTCTAAATTAAGTAACATCTTCTAAGGTCATCTTAGTGATAAATTAAAACACTGCTTGAGTATAATTCTTGAGTTGAAATAGACTAAAATTCACAAGAATTTATGATTTCACTTATGTGACCTGAAATAATAGAAGGTGAGATTAGATGAAATCTTTCAGGTTCCTTCACCTCTCAAGTTATAGTACTTCTCATACGGACAAGACTTTTACTCAGATACCTGATTAGACCTGATCAGATCTACCAAAAGATTATGAACAGCTCTATAATTAAAATAATTCTTTACCCCTGTTTGTTAGCATTAGCCTCTGTGAAATACACAAATATATAAACATGGAAAAGTATCTGTTTATATACTAGCAACTGAAAACTTTAAGCAACTGTCTTAATGGCTTATGTACATACCTTTATATATTTTAAGTCAGTTTTAATATATATAAATCTTCTCCTTACTCTTACTCAAAAACCCTTTTCCCTACTCCTACTTGTGTTAGCAGGCCATACAAAGAAAATTATTTCTTAGGCTATTTACTCCATAATATGTCTCTATTTTAAATGGATTTTTAAATTATTTCTTAGGCTATTTACTCTATAATTTGCCTCTGTTTTAAATGGATACATTGGTTTAACAAATACTACCAATTTTTCTTGTGAATGTAGTCTATTCCAAAATATTCCTCATCCTTATGTACACAGTGCTGACACAAATCAGATGCTCAATAAAACATTTGAAATGAACATGGTGAAACCATCCCAAATCAGAGAAGAAAGGTTTTCACAAACATTTCTTAGTATTTACAAAAGACCCTTGACTCACCAATATCAAAATTCCAGCTGTGAGAGGAACAATCAACACTGATTTCTTGACAGTGTATGTGTTTGGGTTGGGGGTGGGGTGGGCTGAAAAACGGGGGTAGTAGATTAGATATAACAAATTTGGCATTTTTATCACAGAGTATTATAGTGAGATGAATGGAATCTAGAACTACTTGGCATAATAAAGCTAGGATCATTCCTAGTACCTATTTAGATTGGTAAAAAAGTGAAAAATTCTTGGGTATAGTGGATAGTCTTACCTGTTGAGTAAACAGGGAAGCATAATTGGCATATTCATTTTTAAAATTATGAAGGATAGTTTAATAAAGATCTTAATACATATGCCTTTTAAAAAGGATCTTTTCTGTGCATAAAAATACTAACAGTAGGTAGCTTCTAGATAAAACATTCATACATGAGAAATTTAAATGCAATTCTAAACTTCTAATATAATCACTTAAAGACTGATATTAACGACTTAAAAAAGGCAGCAGTGCTCATTGCCAATTAGCTTTAGAGTTTTCCTCAGAAGTGTAAACAAAGCCTTAAATCAAAGAACATGCCAACCATGACATTTATCTGTCTATATCTATACAACTGTCTTTTTTTTTAAATCTATGGTTGCCATTTTCTGTCCATACTATTAGAACAGATTTTCTTCTTAATTTTGGAGAAAAATTGCCAAAAATTATTACTTAGACTCCCAACATAATTTTATTTTTTTGTTTTTCAACTTATCATGTCATATACAGCAGCTTAAATTACATTTATCTGTTGGTAAAGAATGGAATGTTCAAATAAGATTACAGTTATTTACTATCTTATACTGTCTTGACTGTGAAATCTAGATATAGATGAGAATTTCTCTTTGACATAAAGGTTATATTTACTTTTCTCTCTAAAAATTGTAAAAAATATTGTAATACAATAATTTATTTGGTATATTGGCTATTAATGTTTAGTACTTAATTTTCTAAATTTTATTATTATGGATTTTCCATATCTGAACTATGGTCACTTAGAGTACACTAAAGATTTTAAAATGTACTATTTGTTCCCCTAAGAAATGGTACTCCAAAATATCTACCATTTAGCTCTAAATTTTATCTATACAGAAATATTCAAAAACCACTAGTAAATGAATTTATTTTAACCATAATCCATATAAAATAATTGTGTAATATAACATTTCAATAGGTGAGCAAATTTGCACTTACATTAAAACTGGGCAATTTTAAAGTTCAATCTCTCTGTAGACTGAAAAATAAAGAAAACATGGAGAGGAAAATATACATATCCTAAGGGAATCAGATCCTCCATCTGGCTAGACAATCAAAACTCTCCTTATTAACATGCTTATAACTTAATAAGTATATATATGTGAGCTGGAGTATTTGTACACAAAATGACAAGAAAACCCTCATTTCAGTTACTGAGCGATTAAACCTAGAAATAAGTCAGTGATGTTTCATTCTTCCTTTGAAGTATCCCAATCAACAGACCAGTGTGAACAAAGCTTGAAAATGAACTGAATGTTGAAGAATAATAATTTAGTGATAGATATGAATGATAATTAATTTTTTCCAACTTTAGCTTAGCGTATCCGTATATTTAACTTCAACATGTTAATGCTATTTCTAAAGTTAGGATAAAATAAGAAGTGTAAAGAATAAAGCATAAGCATCTTTTAACTTGAGCTGCTAAAACGAACCATTGTCCCTCAGGAAAGGAATGTGCAGATTTTGAACAATTCCATAGCAGCAAAGCATTCACTCAGTAGAACACTTATCTTGTGACACTTCTTGTGACAAAATACAGGAACTGAGTAAGAAAGAGAATTTCCTTACCCCTCTTTAACTGTGTAACTCTCAATACAAGAAGCTATTTTTAGAAATGTGAACTGATTCAAAATGCATAAAAATGTAAATGTACAATATACATACATACCTCCTAGTGGGGTCAAATGAGTGCCTTTTTGTTAGACATACAAAGATGTCTCAAGGCACTTAAGGGGTTAAGACACAACACATGCATTCCTTTACATCAAGTATGTGAAATCACATGATTTGGAATAAGCCAACTTTATGATAAATATAAGTTACATTATTAAATTCAAGAAAACCTGTAGATTCATATTTATACTTTCTATAAGATGCTGGTAAATGGACAATGTGCAGCATTTCCTGGGAAAAGCAAATTCCACCTTTCTCCTTATGAACAGCAGGTCTCTACAGGGAGAGTGTAGGGAAAGATGTGCTGCATCCATAGGCAGTGTATTGGCTAATACTGAGAATGATATTGCTAAAATTTTAAAAATAAAATCTGGTAATCAGTATAGTAAGTACATGAATCCCTGGAAACACCAAGCTTTCTCCTGATGTTTCCTTCTTTTTCACTTTCAAAATACATGTGTATAACAGAGATGATGAGAATTCTTAGCCTTGTTTGTGGCCACCTACCAGAAGGGGACTGAATGGCACCACCACAAAATTTCATAAATTACCCTGAACACACACTCAGTATTCACTATTTGTTCGGAGCAAAACATGAAATAATCTTCAAACACATGAATTATAGATCTTGAGAGAGTGACATTTTTTTAAACATAAAGTGCAACAGTGCTAAGTTTTCAGTTTTTTTAGTTCTTCCATTTTTTTGTTTATATGCCATTTCCTGCAAGCAGTATTATGGCATAGTGAAGATAATGGAAAGCAGTTTTCAACACATATCCCAGACCTTTTACTTTCTTATTTATTTGATGACGTTGATAAAGGTTTAACAAATCCTTCTTCATAAACTTTCAAAATAGCTTCACATACAAATCTGTATTGACTCTGAAAAATAAAAAATTGAAGTGATCAGAAAAACTAGAAAACAACAATAATCTCACTTAGCTTGCTTATAAAAGAAATGCAAAGTAAAACTGCACAGAGATACAATTTTCACAAAGAGGCTGACAAAAACAAAAAAGTTTGACAACATACTTTGTTGGCAAAACTCACTCACTCATTGCTAGTAGGGATGTAAACTACTATAACCCTATGGATGGGAATCTAGCAGCATCTAACAAAATTACACTAATTTACCCTTTGACCCAGAAATCCCACTTCTAGGAATCTATCCAAAAGGTAAATTAGAAAAAGGAATTGAAAACATATATTCATAAATGAGGCTATTCACTACCAGATTTCTTATAATAAAAAAGTAGAAACAATCCAAATTGCCATCAAGAAGGACTGGGTAAGTAATCTGTGGTATATCCTCATAGTGGGATACTATGTAGGGAGGGAGGAAAAAGAGTCTGCAGACTACTAGAGAATGATTCTAGGATATTTTGTTAAGTAAAAAAAGCAAGGAGGAGAAAAGTACATACATACTTTTGTATGTATGATTACCTTTATAAAAGAAAAGGGCAGAATGAAAATATCTATCTCAGTATGTATGTTAAAAGAAAGCAAAGGAAGGACACATTCATTAAAAAATGGTTACCTATAAAGGGAAAGAGGGAATAGGATGCAAGAGAGAGAAAGACACTAGACTTCACTGAGTATAATTTTATGGTATTTACTCTGGTAATATTATGGTAATATTGGTAAATATGGTAATCTGGTAAATATGGTAATATTAATTACCATATTAATATACTCTGTAATCAATACATTAAAAAAACTCTACGAACTGAAAATAACACAAAACAAATCAATGTGTGTGCCTTGTTGATGGCATAGCCACATAGGAGCTATTTCAAGGGACTTTGAGACAATAATTTGTCTCTCTTATATCAAAAAAGCAAAAAATTGTGGAAAAAATTGAAAATTCTTTTCAGTAAACACACTGTTGGTGGTAGTAATGTTAGTTTTGTTACTCTGCAACTGCTGTGTAATGTGGAACAACATTAGTGCTTATTATGTTCTAAGTCTTGCATTGCTGGTATTACAGAGAACCAGTATTCTTACTAAAGAAAAAAGGAAATAAAGATGTAAGGAAGACACTGAGTAAAAACATGATGGTCCTGAATTTGTATTGGAAGCACCAGTATTAATTCACAGGTTTGTTTTTCTACCTTGTAATTGAAGATTTCTAGAGACAAATACTAACACTAACCCAACAGCAATAAAAAATCCTACTGCTCAGAAGATGGTCTGTAAAATAACTGCTCAGTAAAAAGAACCAGTACTTTCTGGAGATATTACTGACTCTAAGTCTGTAATGTACAGGCTAGGGCCTGAACATCTTTACTGATAGCAAGGAAGCTACTGAAGGGACTAGGGTCTTGACAAAAAGACTCAGGAGCCAAGTGAATAGGCTCCCACTGGCCAAAATGGAACACTTTAGGTATCATTAAGAAAAACAACTACAATGGGCTGAAACATATATATTTAAATGCATGATTTCAAAATAATACTAAACAAACAAAAGAGGTCATACCACAAGGCGAGGCTGCTGAACACTTGTAAAGAGAAAGCATCAAGGGTTTATTTTGCCTTTCTTATACAGACTACCACTGGATAACCAAATAGCAAAAGAGAAGTTTCTCTTTAAAGAACTATTTCAGCTAATAAGTAAGGAAGGAATGACAAGAGTATCATAATTTTGCAAGCCCAATGAATTAATGATGCTGGCATTGATTACCTAAGGCTGCTAACACTGGAAGAACATAATACCACCTAATAGGTTCAAGACAATAGATCCATTTACCACTTTTAGGAAACAGACACCACCAAACACCAGCAACATCCAGACTGTGGAAAACTATGTAACACAAACTACCTGGTTTATTCATCAAATCAAGTACAAAAAAAAGAAAAGAGACTACAGATTAAAGAGATTTAGGAGACATATAAGCCAATCAAAATGAATGGATCATATTTGAATCCTGACTTTACAAAAACTGCAAAACAAAAATAAAAAATCATTATGTACTATGTGATCCAGCAACTTGACTTCTGTCTATGTATGTGAAAAAAACTGAAAGACATATTTATACAACCATGTTCACAGCAGTGCTATTCACAATGGCCCAAAGGTGAAAACAACCATATGTCCATTGATGGATGAAAGGATAAACAAAACGTGGTCTGTATGCAGAATGGAGTATTTTTCAGCCTTCAAAAGAAAGGAAATTTTGACCCATGCTATAGCATGGAATAATCTTGAGGATATTATGCTAAGTGAAATAAGCCAGTCACAAAAAAACAAATATTATATGATTCTACTTATATGAAGTATTTAGAGTAGTCAAATTCACAGAAAATAGAATTGTGGTTGCTGGGAGAAGGGGGAAACAGGGAACTGTCTAATGGGTATAAAGTTTTAGTTTTACAAGATGAAAAAATTCTAAAGACTGGTTACACAACAATGTGAATATACTTAACACTACTGGAGTGTACACATAAAAATAGTTAAGATGGTAAATTTCATGTTGTGTATTTTATCAAAATTAAAAATAGAAAATCCATTGTGTGTGACTACAGATACAAAAACCTCAAGAAACTACTAGCAAATCAAATCAAGCAACATATAAAAATAATTATATACCATGTCTAAGTCAGATTTATCCCAAGCAAGCAAGGTTAGCTTAACATCCAAAAACCAATGTGATATATTACATTAAAACAATGAAAGACAAAAACCACATGATCATCTCAGTAGACACACAAAAAAGCATTTGACAAAACTGAACACCTTTCCATGATAAAAAAAGTCAACAAACTAGGAACAACTTCAACCTGATAAAGGGCATTTATAAAACGCCCCAGCTAACGTGATGCTCAGTGGTGAAAGACTAAAAGCTGTTCCCCTAAGACCAGCAGTAAGACAAGGATCTGTGGTTTCACACTTTATTTATTTAATATTGTACTGGAGGTTCTAGCCAGGACACTTGGTCAAGGAAAAGAAGGAAAAGAGGGAGGGTTGTGGAGGGAATGAAGAGAGGCAAAGGGAAGAGAAGAAAAAGGTACCTAAGAGGAAAGGAAGAAGTAAACTATTTCTACTTGCAGATGACATGATCTTATATGGAGAGAATCCTAAGGAATCCACTTTCACATACAAAAACAAAGTTAATAAGAGACTTCAGCAAGGTTGCAGGATAAATGATTAATATACAAAATCAATTTTATTTCTATACCCAAGCAACGAGTAGTCCAAAAATGAAATTAAGAGAAGAGTTCCACTTACAATAACATGAAAAGATTAAAAATCTTAAGAATAAATTTAACAAAAGAAGTGACAGACTTGCACATTGAGAACTACAAAACATCACTGAAAGAAATTAAAGAATACCTAACTATAAAGAAAGACATTTTGTGCTCATGGTATGGAAGATGGAGTATCATTAAGATGGTAACATTCCCCACAATGATATATAGATTTAATGTAATCCCTATCTTGCTTTCTATACATAGAGGACACACTGATTTTAAAATTCACATGGAAATGCAAGGGACCCAGAAGAGCTAAAACAGTCTTGAAAAAGAAGATCAGAGTTGGGGGATTCACATTTCCTGACTTCAAATTTTATTAAAAAGCTACAAAATTCAGACAGAGTGGTACTAGTATAAGGACAAATATACAAATCAATGGAATAGCACTGGAAGCCCAGAAATAAAGCCCTTAACATTGTGGCCAGCTGAGTTTTGAGAAAGGACCCAGAGACAATGAATAAACAGTCTTTCAAGAAATGGTGCTGAACAACTGGATATCAATATGCAGAATAATCAAACTGGAAGCCTATCTCAAACCAACCATATGCAAAAATTAACTCAATGGATAAGACACCTATATGTGAGAGCTAAACTCTACAACTCTTGGAAGAAAACAGGAGTAAATCTTTGTGATTTTTAGTTATGCAATGATTTCTTAGACATGATTAGACTTCATCAAAATTAAAAACCTTTGTGTTTCAAATGACAATCAAGAAAGTGAAAGCAGCGAATGGAAGAAAACATTTGCAAACCACAGATCTACAAGGGACATTTATTCAGTAAATATAAAGAACTGTTACAACTGAACAATTAAGTGACAAGTCAAATTGAAAAATGGGCAAGAGCTCTGAACACACAGTTCTCTAAAGAAGATACACAAATAAATGGCCAATAAGCACATGAAAAGATGCTAGATATCATTAGTTGTTAGGGAAATGCATATCAAAACCACAATGAGATGCACTTTATATTCAGTAGGATGACTAAAATATAGAAAGACAGATAATAGCAACTGTTGATGATGGTGTGAAGAAAATGGAAGCCTCATACTTCTGCCAGTGGAAGTGCAAATGAGGTAGCTGCTTTGGAAACAGCCTGGCAGTTCCTCAAAAGGTTAAATATAGTCACCATATGACCCAGCAATTCCACTTCTAGGTATATACCCAAGAGAAATGAAAACATGGTCACACAAAAACAATACATAAATGTTTATGGTACCATTATTCATTAATAGCTGAAAAGTGGAAATAATACATACGTCCATCAATAGATGAGTGAATAAACAAAATGTAGTATTCTATAAAATAGAATATTATTCACAGAGAAAAAAAAGGAATGATGTATTGATATGTGCTATAGAAGGAATAAACCTTTAAATATTACACTGACTAAAACAAGCCAATTACAAAAGACCAAGTTGTGTGACTTCATTAATATGAAAGGTCCAGAATAGGTTAACTATAGACAGAGAGCAGATAAGTGGTTGCCTAGGGCAGGAAGAAGTTGGGGAAGGATGAAGCAAAGTGGGAATTGGTTTCTTTCTGGGGTGATGACGATGTTCTAAATTTAAGTGATGGCTGTATGACTTTGTGATATACTAAAAACCACTGAAGCATACACTTTTAAAGGGTAAATCTTACGGTATATGAATTATATTTCAATAAAACTGTTCTAAAATTAAAAAAGACATTTATCTGAGACAACTGGAAATCTGAATACTGGCTATTTGATAATATAAGGACAATGGTACTGTGGTTTTATTTAGAAGGAAAAATACTTTATCTTTTAGAGACAGGCACTAAAATATTTAGGGACAAAATGATGTGGTATCTAGGATTTGTTTCAAATATGAGGAGAGTAGGTGGCAGTATAGATAAACAATATGGCAAATATTGTGGGTCTGAGTATTCAAAATAGGTTCATTATATTATATTGCCTACTTTTGTGTATATTTGAAATTTCTATAATTAAAAGCTAAAAAAATGATAGGCACTTATTTGGTCACATAGGTCAATTTAATTCAGTAACCTTAATGCCATCAACAAAGTAACATTTCACAACAGCCTAATATAAAAAATAATCTTAACATTGACTCTAACATTCCATAATTCCTCTCTTGGTCCTGGAACCTAATGTGCACGTTAGCAGGTTAACTGTGACCTTCTCCATTATTGCTGCTGTGATTTAAAGTTTTATGTGAAAAAGAAAAATGGTGATTTCACCCCAGTGTTTCATCTAAAGTAGGTTTACCAAGATTCCCCAGTTCAGGGAACTACTGTTCTCAGCATTCCACTTGGCTAAGTAATATAGGGCAAATTCCTCTGCACCTGTGTAAGCACTCGGGAATGCACATGCTAGGGTGGTGCTGACAAAACATTTTCTGTAAAAGACCAGGTAGCAAATATTCCAGGTTTTACAGATCATATGGTGCCTGTTATGATTCCTTGACTTTGCAATTATAGTGTGAAAGCAGCCATAGATGTTATGTAAACAAATGAACATGCCTAAATTTCAATAAAACTTTATTTATAAAAATAAGGGCCGATTTGGCTCATGGGTGATACTTACTGATCCTGTGTGTTAAGGGTATTAGGGGTTATTAACTCCTGGTTGGGAATATACTTTGATAATAACAATAATCATGTTGAGAATACACACTTGCACATGAAGTATAGTACTTACAGGTGTTTGGATCATCATGGCTCGCTGATCTCTCATTGTTCTCACAATGTCTAGTGGATATACTGGTTGATTGCATTCAATGAGACACATGGCTGTTTCCATAGTAATAAGAACTCCGGTTCTTCCAATCCCAGCACTAAAAAAGACAAATATGGGGCAAAGTCCTACTGATATTATTCTGTTAAACGTGTGGCTTTTGTGCAGAAAATTAAAGTGCTGAGTTTAGGAGAATAGTTTGATTTTAATGTTCTATATTACAAAAGTAGCAAGCCAACTAGGAAAAGTTTTGAAACTTGAAAAAAATTTCACACTTAATACAGATTAAGTGGTTTGTACCCACTTCTTCCCTGATTGTTAGTTGTTACTATTTTAAAAGAGCTACATTTTAGATCTGAATAAGTACATTTTAAAATCTGAATAAGGCAAAGAAGCTTATTGGAGAAACCCCCCCTTTAAAGTGCAAAAGAACAGAAATATAATGAATCACTAACAAATGCATAGAAGATATGTTTTTTTAAACTTTTGTATCATTAATCTACAATTACATGAATAACATTATGTTTACTAGGCTCCCCCCTTTAGAAGATATGTTTTATACACTCAAATAATCAGTTTTTAAAACCAAATTTGATTTTGATTAAACTTTACCTCTGAGGTAGTCAAGAACAACTTTTTTTTTTCTTAAATGATCCAATATATGTATTTTTTATTTTGGTATCATTAATCTACAATTACAGAAAGAACATTATGTTTACTAGGTTCCCCCCTTCACCAAGTCCCCCCAACATACCCCTTCACAGTCACTGTCCATCTGTGTAGTAAGACGCTGTAAAATCACTACCTGTCTTCTCTGTGTTGTACAGCCCTCTCCGTATCCCCCACGCACTGCACATGCTAATAGTAATGCCCTCTTTCTTTTTCCCCACCCTTATCCCTCCCTTCCCACCCATCATCCCCAGTCCCTTTCCCTTTGATAACTATTAGTCCATTCTTGGGTTCTGTGATTCTGCTGCTGTCAAGAACAACTTTTTAAAGTATTCTCTGTGAACATGTATATAATAGCAACTGGGGACTTAGGATATGGAAATATTTGGTCTGAAATTTGTTTTGATGACTTGAAAGTCTGCTCTTAAAAAGTGCTGGAAAATTTAAGGATACCTCAATACATCTTCTGAATAAATCATTTAATAACAGAGGTGGTTAGGACAGGGAGGAAATAATTTGTCTTGCAATCTTTGGGTCAGTGGCAGTGAAGGTGAGAGTCACTATAGTTGGCTTTTTGAAGGCAGAAGGGGACCAGAGTTTGAAAGGAAGGGAGGATAACCTACTGTTATTCATCTGGAGCTCTCACAAGTGGCATATCCTGTATGGTACTGGGAAGGGCCATTCCAAGAGAGGGCCATACTCAACAAGTAGGCCAGGAAGGAGTACTTTGTTGGGAGGGCAAAATCTAAAACCTTGGGCTGTAACCTAATGCCTATAACACAGTATTTCATCAAATGTAGAAACCATCAATTTTAAAGACACATACCTATTTCAGAGATGTTCAACTATGAAAAAGATAAGCTCCTAAGATTCAGTGCAAGAAAGTATTATTTTTACTTTTTACAATACAGTTTCTGTCAATCGTGTTGGAACCTATCTTTGCTTTCTACCTTCAAAGCACAGCTTTGAGTTCTCTCTAATTATCATAGTGATAATCACAACTTAAGGACAAAGTAAAATTGGATTCTGTTTTTAAAATGTCAAATTAGCTAGCTATTCAATCATAAAAGAGAGAAAACAATACCTGCAATGAACAACAATAGGTTCTTCCCTGCCAGCTCTCTTATTTCGTATGTGACAAACAAAATCCAGAAAGTCACTTGAATCATCAGGGACTCCATGGTCAGGCCAGGCTATGTACTGGATCTGAGTGAGCTGACGACTCTCATTTTTCTAAATGTTAGATGAAAAGGTATGCACTTATGACTTAGGAATTATTTTTAAAACATAAACAATCATGTCATTTTAATTTTGGAAGAAAAGCAAAAGAAACTACTCTCACTACCGCCCTCCCAAAATAGTAATGTATAAACTCAATAAAACCCAAAACTTCAATGGAAGAGAAAGAAATAATTTTATAGGAACAGTTAGTATCAGATACTTAAATCATTACTCTTCCTGTAACTCAATTTCTATATTTATACAGTATTTTAAGGATGAAAACCAAGTAACCAGGCAAAATAAAATCCAGAGAAATGTTTAAAGAAAATTAAAGAACTGTTAGGTTAGCAAAAATGATAAAGTAAAAAAAAATTTTTTTTATGAACAAAGTTGGGCTAATCCTAAAAAACATTAAGTGAAATCATGGAAATTAGGAAAATAAAATCGTAAAATAAATGTAGACTAAAAACTGGAGATCATAAAAACACAAAATCAAATCAGGGCTAATTCTTTTTTAGGAGCCAAGAGTTGGTATAATGGAGAAAGTAAGATACTGGTATATACATCTTGGTTCAAATCTTGACTCTGTCAGTTAAGCCACTTAATCTTTCAGGGCCTCACTTTCTTCAGCTGAAAATGAAGTAACATATACACCTCAAAGGGATATCTTACATTGAAAGGGTTCTATAACAGGAGCAGTAAATCACTCGATCAGCTGTTTGGAATTATATGCTCAATAATGGTAGCTAAGAGTCATTCACCACTATGAAATCTGGTTATTGGCATTTACATTAAAGAGAATTTCGAGAATTTCCCCAAAAGACCATTAACACAAAAGGTAATTAAGAAAATTACTATTGAAACAAAAATCCCAAAAAAGACCTCAGTATAATTTGACAACTAATTTTTCAGAATCCTGTAACTCTTTAAAATGAAATGTCTAATACGGACTACCTTTGATTATACTTAACAAAGAATTTAATGTTACCAATAATCTACAATAATGGGTAATGCAAAATAATATTTCCTAAGTTTGGGATAGTGTCTGTCCATCCATCCATCCATTCATGTATATATGGATTTATGGTAGCAAATTTACTTTCCCAATTATATTTGTCTCAAACTTTATAAACTGACTCGTGCTTTAGCATAGTTCTGAGGTACTTACTGTTTGCAAAGAAAAGCCATTATAGTATATAAAACTGCCAAGGATAATCTACAGGTAGAGTACAATAAAGAAATGATGTAGAAGATATCAGTATTATTTTATTTAACCATATACAGCCTATCTTTCATATCTACTTGGAAAAATGAAGGAATATCTTATTGGCTTGCCTTTAGACCATGAGCTCTTCAGTTTATGTCCCTAAACCCTAAATTCATTCTGATGGAATCTCTAGACTATAAGATTTTTAAATTATTTAATTTTTTATTTCTCCTAACTAGCTTTATTCAATGCCAGATTCCTTTTAAAAATCAGCACAGCTTTTAGTTCCTTCCCTTTTGGTCAGTGAGGTTCTGTCTTCCTGCGCTCCTTTACCCATACTCAGGGAGGTGGTTGGTAGAGACAGGGGAAGATGGAATTCTCATTTCTAAAGGCTTCACCATTGATAGGACAGGCCTGGGTCTTCATAGCTTGTGCTGTTAACTATTCTCTAGTATTCACTTCTTTCTTCTTCTAGCCCCCTTCAAAACCAAAGGTGGTTGGCAGGGGAATACCAAGCTGCAGGCAATGAAAATGGGACACACTAGCACTGGCTTCAGTAGCCTGACAGGACCAGCAGCATGCTGCACACATTATCTCCCAATTAGGTTACTGAGCCATCACTTACTTACTTATTTTATTTTTAATTTTTAATTAAAGTACCACTGATACATAATCTTATGAAGGTTTCACATGAACAACCTTGTGGTTTCAACATGAATCCATATTATCAAGTCCTCACTACCTCCATTGCAGTCACTGTCTATCAGCATAGTAAGATGCTATACAGTCATTACTTATCTTCTCTGTGCTGTACTGCCTTCCCCACGACCTACCTTTATTGTGATTACTAATTACAGTACTCCTTAATCCCCTTCTCCCTCCCTTCACACCCGCTTCCCTATTAGTCCCTTCTTGGAGTCTGTAAGTTTGCTGCTGTTTTATTCCTTCAGTTTTGCTTTGTCGTTATACTCCACAAATGAGTGAAATCATTTGGTACTTGTCTTTCTCCGCCTCACTTATTTCACTGAGCATAATACCCTCTAGCTCCATCCATGTTGCAAATGGTAGGACTTGTTTTATTTTTATGGCTGAATAATATTCCATTGTCTATATGTACCACCTCTTTTTATCCATTCATCTACTGATGGACACTTAGGTTGTTTCCATATCTTGCTGAGCCATCACTTATTAATCAGTTTCAATTTCTGGTACTGGATCTAGAAGCCAAGGGGAGTGACCCAGGTGGCAGTAAGGAGACGTAGCAAGCAGAAAGCTATAACCTATCTGCTGTCAGAAGGTCCTACTTATGATCTTTACCTCCTCAATACTGAGGAGACTGAAATTGCTCTCCTCTACTTTTTTAAAAAAGGGGAATAATTTGATATTTTTCAACTGTTCTTTCCATTTCCACAAGTGTATTCAAATACTTTGTTGATATTACTTGGAAGAAGAAATCTTTACAACCAAACACACCCCTTGTATAATTTTTATGAATAGGCAAAGTATTAAGAGTAATAAGTATTATTTGCTACATTCTTTTTTCACCATTCATATTTACCTATAGAAATTGTAAATACATTTATTGTAGTAGGAGAATATACTTTGTAATATTTCAAAGCATCCCAATGAAGCAAATAGTTCAATGTTTTTTAAATAGTATTTCTTAGAAACCAGGACTCAGGCTAAAAACATTTTCCGCTTTCAAAGCCTTAATCTTGAACACAACAGTAAGGGATATCCTGCCTTCCTACCTCTTGATTAAATAGTGTCATCTTCCTGAAGATATACGCTGTGTTTCCTTCTTCGGAGTGGCAGGTGACTTGGTAGCATCCATAGGATGAACTTCCTGTGGACTCTGGCCAATACTGGTGACATTTAACCTGACATCAATAGATTTAAAATATATATATAATTCAGGTTCTCCAACTTATATAATATTTTAATTTTTTAACTATTTCAAACTTGTAAAAAACTTACAAGAGTAATTTAAGGGACTCTAATATATCCTTTACCTACATCTGCCAACTATTAACATTTCTTCTGTCATTTTTTTCTTTTTGTAATAGTCCATTTGGATATATATTTAGAGTGCAAATACACTGTTTACAGCAAGCTTTCATCCAGTGTTTACCATTCTCCATTAATTCCTGCCTGAATCAATTACTATTATGAATGTGGCAAAATGGTGTACTCATTTTGGTATTTTTTAGATTTAAATTAACAATGAGAAAGAAATCTTCAACTAAAACACAATTCATTTATTTTCAAAATTAAGCTTTTTACAAAACAGCTTTACTGACATACAATTCACATACCATGCAATTATCCAGGATTTAAGGTACACAATTCAACTGTTTTTAGATATATTCACAGAGCTCTGCAAGCATAGACACAATCACTTTTAGAACATTTTCATCACTCCCCAAAGAAACCCTGTATCCTTTAGTAATCACTATGCAGTACTCTCTATCCCACCCCCCTTCCCCAACTCCAAACCTAGGCAAACACTAATCTACTTTTTCTCCTCTATGGATTTGCCTATTCTGGATATTTTATACAGTGGAATCATAATACGTGGCCTTGGGTGACTGGCTTTGTTGACTTAGTATAATGTTTTAGCATGTATCATTTCTTCCTTTTTATTGACAAATAATATTCAACTGTATGAATATCCTGCATTTTATTTGGTATATAGTTTATTTCCACTTTTTGGCCATTATGAATGATGCCATTGTGAATATTTGTATGTAAGTTTTTGTGTGAACACATCTTTTAAATTCTCTTGGGTACCGAATCTCTAGGAGTGAAACTGCTGAGTTACAGTAACTCTATAGCCCTTTGAGGAACTTAGAGATTATTTTCTAATGGGGCGGCACTATTTTACAAATCCAACAGCAGTATAGGAGGGCCCCATTTTCTCCCATCATCACCAGCATTTCTTATTATCTTCATTTTTAATTTTAGCCATTCTACTGGATGTAAGTGGTATCCCACTATGGTTTTGATTTGTATTTCCCTGATAACTAATGAAGCCAAGCATCTTTTCATAACCTTATTTGCCATCTGGATATCTTCTTTGGAGAACCGTTGATTCACATCCTTTAGACACTTTAAAACTGGGGATATGTCATTTTATTGCTGGGTTTTGTGAGTTCTTTATAGATTCTCGATACAAATCCCTTATCAAATATATATTAATCCACTTTAATAAAAACAAATAACAATGGCTAACACTTGTATCACATATATGATGCATCAGAGTTTTAAGGACTTAACCTGATTATTTTAATCATGTCACAAGAAAGGAAGTTTAAAGGTCACAAAAAAGACTAAATCAACATGAATATTTTGATTATATATGCATTGTAATTTGAGAAAAGCCCAAGCAATGTGTAAGATTCAAATATGACTTACTCTGCCACGTTCAACTTGAGTGGTCAACATTACAACCATGGAGGAGCCTTGTTCCCAGGTCATCTGCCAGAAATCTGTACAAGTGTGTGGTAATGGCCCTTGACAAGCAATGTACTGATTTATAATGCTAGAAGAAGGGATTTCCATCTAAAAAGAACACAAAAGTAAAATCTTTTGCATTATTGCTTTTTACTTTGATCAAGCATATGAAAATCATCCACCAAATGATTAACTGAATACAACTAATCTCTCAATGAACTGCCTGCAAAGTCAGTAAACAAATTTTTATTAACAATTTCTTACATATCTGTAGAAAAAATTTCTTGGCAACATCCAGTAGCTACCCATATTTACCCTTCAATTAGTAGAAACAGGAATTTAAGTATTTGCCAAAGCCCTCTTACAGTTTTAAGAGCACCTTTACAGAGAACCTTATTTCAGAGGCAGAGACTGGTACAGGAAAAAAACAATTGTCTCTAAAAAGCTTATAGGTAAAATTTGTGAGGAGCAAAAATTCTGCCATTTGTTTTAAATTTTATATATAACATATATGTAACATAAAGGGATATTGGAAAAATATTTTAAATTCATTACTTTCAGAAAGATCATGAGTTTTGGGGGGAAGATCACTCATTATCCTAGTACACTTTGAGATTGAATTACAAAAAAAGGTGACATATACACACGGCAATTAGAAGAATATCAAAGGGTGAACAAGGAAAGAAGTCTTCCTCTCATCCCAGCCTACAGTTTACACCCAGGAGGGAAATCCTTTTTCCCTAGTTTCTGATATAGCCTTTCATAGATATTCTATAAATACACAAATGTACTTGCAAAACTACCTTCCTTTTTTCTGTAAAACATAAATGGTAGCATATGTTATGCATCTTGGTTTTTTTCCCACTTTACCTTTGAGATCATGTTAGATTAGTACATAAAATTTTTTTAATAGCTTTACTATATAAATATACTGTAAATTATTTAACAATCATTTAAGTTGCTGCCAATCTATTTGCTAAACAATGCTACACTGAATACTTTTGTCAACCTAACATTTTTAGGCACAGAAGAAATGTATTTGTATGGCAAGAGGAAGAAATAAGAATGCTGGATCAAAATGTATATGCATTTAAAATTCTGACAGATAGTGACAACTTCTCCAAAGAGGCTGTGCCTATTTAAACTTCCACCAACAATGTATGAGGAATGCTTGTTCTGTGACAATCTCTTGCATATATCCAAAGTCTCTTACCCACAATTCTGAAACTCTGAAAGTTCTGATGTGTTGTTTGCCTTTTTTTAAATATCTGACCTGAACTGACTGAAGACTATAGTCTTTATTAGTCCTACATAGTGGGAATATCCATTTTGCTGTTGCAAATTAATATACTGATTATGGTATTTGTCCCATAGCATGCTGGGACATTACTTATTATAGTATATTATATATGTACTCAGTGTATATGGCATATGCACCAAATAAACCTTCAAAAATCCAAAAAAAAAATCTGAATTGCAAAATATATTTGACCCCAAGGTTTCAGATAAAGGGTATATATAGACATATATGGTAATTATCAAACTTTTTGATAGTTCAATCAATAGGTAAAAAATGGTGATTTCTTGCACTTTTGATCTGCACTTTTCTGTTTATGAATCAACTTGAAGTATTGTTAGCTGTTTGTTATTATTTCTTGGAATGTTATAATAGCATTGTGGCTTTGCTAAAAAAAGAGAGAAAGGAAAAGAAAGGTCCTTAGAGGTACATACTAAAAGTCAATCCTCATTACTCATGGATCTGTATGCAAATTTGCTAAAATCTATTTGTAACCTCAAAATACTTGCATGGCTTCCATCATTATTTAAAGATATGTCCAGAGAGGTGAAAAATTTTAGTCACTGATGTGTACATTTCTAGCAAATACTGAAGAGGACAGTCTGCCTTCTTGTTTTTGCACTCACACTGTAAACAAGTCTTTTTAGTAGAATAGTGCCATGATTTTTGAATTTTTGAGCTTGTTGATGATTTCACTGTTTAAAATATTCCCCAAGGGTTGTCTATTGTTCCTAAGTACAAAAAGGCCATAATATGCCTTACTGAGAAAACACTGTGTTAGACGAGCTTCCCTCAGGAATGACTTAAATGCTGTTGGCCATGAGTTCAATGGTAACAAATCAACAATGTATATTAAATATGTATTTAAACAGAAACACGTTGATTGATCAGCTGACAAAAATGTTGTAACTAGAGGTTCTAGGGAACCTAGCCCTGTATTTCCCCATTGGAACAACGATTCAGTATTTGTTAAAATTCAGTGTTTGTGAAGACTTTATAAAGTACTGCAAATAACAGAGGCTGACAGTATTTACAAAAAGGTGATATATTTCGGCTTTCAGAAAAGTAATCTTGGAGATAGTATTTAGATGAAACAAGATTGGACATTTGTTGATAGCTCCTGAAGCTGGGTAACAAGTTTCTGGGAGGGTGGCACTCCTGATACTACCATACTTTGGTACAGATTTGAAAATGGCCATGAATTTTAAAAATTGATATTTGTGGGGATTCTGAGAAGATGGTGGAGTGCAGAGAGCCTGAATCCATCTTCTCCCACCTACACACTCAATCTATATCTACACATACAGCATTTTACCCTTAAGATTGGAGACCAAAGGGAACACCTTTACAAACCAAGGGACAAAAAGGTCACCAAAAAAAACCCCCGCAGAACGGCAGGAGAGACAGATACACAGTAACCATGGTAATCCCACTCCCACCAGATGAGAAGGAGATGTCGCTAGGGGAGCCAGGTGTGGACTTCCTGCACCTCAGCCTGGTGGTTTAAAGAGCAACTAGACCATAAGGCAAGTGAAAGAACCCAAGTTTCAGAACTAAACATCCACTGCTTAGCAAGCAATCTGCTGGAGGCAATCTGGGATCAGAAGAGGTGACCAGCACCCTGGGGTATCAATCTCAGACTTGGTCTAGGCAACCTCAAACTCTGTGCCCATATCTAGACATCCTGCAGGAGAGCCAGCAGTCCCGCTTTGCTGCCCACTGCCATCTACTGTCCCAGCCCCCATCAGCAGAACAGGACAGTTCCCTGGCCCACAGGAAGGGTGCATTAATCTGCAGGCTAGTGCCACCAAGGCAACTCCCTGGAGCACTGTGGGAGAATACTCACACACAGCTGACCCCTGGCCCACCAGTGGGACCTCTGCTCACCAACACAGGAATTCTCCAGAGCAGCCCAGAGCATAGAGGGACCCTGCAGGCATGCATGCACACATTGCCTGATTCTGAACACCTGTCAACTGGCAGGTGGCGACATGGGAACCCCCTTCTAGAGCAACCCAGGGCTCTCAGGGGCGACAGGGGAACATGTGCATGCAAAGTCCCTGATCCTGGCTTCTGGCAGCATTGGTGGGCACCAACCTGGGGACTGCCTACAGCAGCCCAGAGCATGCAGGAGCTCTGGGAGAACATGCAGTGCACACAGTGCCAGATCCCAGGCCAAAGAACTGTGGGCACCAAAGTGGGAATTCTGAGGAGCAGTCCAGAGTGTGTGGGAGCTGAGGGAGAATGTGCACAGAACCTGACTCCATGCTACCAGTGGGACCAGCAGGCACCCAATGCAGGAATTCTCTAGAGGGGTCCCGAGTGGCCCAGAGTGTGCATAGGCATACAAGTGAAAAAGTACAGGGAACTCAGCCGCTGCCAATCCAGGAGTTATTTGTAGTGTACCCCTGACCTGCCACTGACCCACCACCCTTCCCCAACCAGTGCAGAAGCCACAGGTGTCCACCAGGATCCCCTCCAACAGGCCCCCAAGGCCACATCCTGGGGGCCCCAGCAACAGGAAAAGCCTATCTCCACTTACTTCGCCTCCAGCTTGCCAAAAGCATGAGGCACACACAGTCTATACAGATACAGGGGACTCTCCTACACAAACAAGGCCAATCCTTTGAGACTGGAAAAGCAAGACCTTTCAACTAGAACCAAGTTGAAAGTTTCATAGAACCAGCCAACCATAAAATAAGGAGACAGAGGAATATGCTCCAAATAACAGAACAAACAAATAAAAACCCCAGGAAAAAAACTAAATGAAACAGTCAATCAATCTACTTGATGAAGAGTTAAAAGCAATGGTTGTAAAGATACTCACTGTACTTGAGAAAACAATAGCAGAACTTAAGGCAGACCCAACATAGATAGAAAGTCTAAAAAGAACCAATCAGAGATGAAGAATCCAATAGGTGAAATAAAAAGTACACTGGAGGGAATGAACAGCAGACTAGAGGATATAGAAGAATGGATCAGTGACTTGGAACACAGAGTAATGGAAAGCACCAAGCTGAAGAGCTGAATGAAAAAGGAATTAAAAGAAATGAGAATAGGGTAAGAGAGTTCTGTGACAATATCAAATGCCCTAATATCTGCATTACAGGAGTCCCAGAAGGAGAAGAAAGAGAGAGAGAGAGAGGAGTGAAAAACTTATTTGAAGAGATAATAGCTGAAAACTTACCTAGGGAAGGAAAATAGTCTACAGCTCCAGGGAGCAAAGACAATGTCAAGTAAGACAACCCCAAGGAGGTCAACACCAAGACACATCATAATTAAAACATCAAATTACAAAGACAAAAAATCTTAAAAGTAGCAAAAGAAAAGTTATGAATTACATATAAGGGAAACCCCAAAAGGTTATCAGCTGATTTATCTACAGAAACTCCACAGGCCAGAAAGGAATGGCATCATATATTCAAAGTGCTGAATGGAAAAAACTGCAAAACAAGAATGCTCCACCCAGCAAGGTTATCATTGGGAATTGAAGGAGACATAAAGAACTTCACAGATAAACATAAGTTCCCCACTACTAAACCAGCCTTACAAGAAACATTAAAGGTGCTTCTTTAAGAGGAAAAGAAAAGACCATAAATAGAATCAAGAAATTTCAGAAATGGAAAAATGTCTACTGGTAAAGCAAACATATGGCAGAGGTAGTAGATCAGTTACTTAAAAGCTAGTATAAAGGTAAAAAAGACTAAAGTAGCAAAAGCAATTACATCTAAAAATTGGTTATGGAATCACTTAATAAAAAGGTGCAAAAGAAGATATTATAAACATAAAACACAGAGAGGGAGTAAGAAAT